TATGAAATTAAGTATGAAAATGAATATTTACTTACAATGAGAAAAGAAATCACAACAAATTACAAATTTTTAAAAGCTAACAAAAATATCATAGACATCACAAAATCTAGAAAGATAGATTTTATTTATTTATTTATTTTTGAGATGGAGTTTTGTTCTTGTTGCCCAGGCTGGAGTACAATGGTGCAATCTTGGCTCACTGAAACCTCCGCCTCCTGGGTTCAAGCAATTCTCCTACCTTGGCCTCCCAAGTAGCTGGGATTACAGGCATGTGCCACCACACCTGGCTAATTTTTATATTTTTCGTAGAGACAGGGTTTCACCATGTTGGACAGCCTGGTCTCCAACTCCTGACCTCAGGCTATCTGCCTGCCTCAGCCTCCCAAAGTGCTGGGATTGCAGGCATGAGCCACGGTGCCTGGCCAATGATTCATTTTTTTTTTTTTTTTTTGAGACGGAGTTTCGCTCTTGTTACCCAGGCTGGAGTGCAATGGGGCGATCTTGGCTCACTGCAACCTCCGCCTCCTGGGTTCAGGCAATTCTCCTGCCTCAGCCTCCCGAGTAGCCGGATTACAGGCACGTGCCACCATGCCCAGCTAATTTTTTGTATCTTTAGTAGAGACGGGGTTTCACCATGTTGACCAGGATGGTCTCGATCTCATGACCTCGTGATCCACCCGCCTCGGCTTCCCAAAGTGCTGGGATTACAGGCTTGAGCCACCGCGCCCGGCCTGATTCATTATTTTTTAATGGCTGCATAGTATTCCATTATATGAATGCATTATAATGTATTTAACCTTATTAATGAATTCAGTGACTCTTTCCAATGTTTCAGGTGATTTAAATAATACTGAATGCTGGCCGAGCACTGTGGCTCACACCTGTATTCCCAGAACTTTGGGAGGCCAATGCAGGCAGATCACTTGAGGTCAGGAGCTCCAGACCAGCCTGGCCAACATAGTGAAGCCCTGTCTATGTTTAAAAAAAAGAAAAATAGTTGGATGTGGTGGCAGGTGCCTGTAATCCCAGCTACTCAGGAGGCTGAGACAGGAGAATCACTTGAACCTGGGAAGTGGAGAATCACTTGAACCTGGGAAGGGAAGTGGAGCAAAACATTTTCTCAAAAAAAAAAAAAAAAAGCTTTTTTTCCCTAGCCTCCTCTACTTCTTTCTTGGATATAAAATCCTTGCTTCTCTCCTCCAATAATTTCATTAACATTTGCAAAAGTTCTTTCCAACTTTCTGACTCGTGTCTGTTTCTTCCTTGGCCATTTTTGTTTTAGTCTCTCTTTCATAGGCTTTGCTCAAATATCTGTACACAACTGCCTGTCTATTCATATGTAAAAATGGCTTACTAAAAATATGATTAGAAGTTTTATGCATGGGTGGAGTAAACCAACTATACCATTTTGTTGGGGTCTTACCCTCCACAGATTTTTTTTGGGGGGCGGGGATAGTCTACCTCTCTGGAAAAGACCCTCCCAAACTCTTGCCTGGGAGGTATAAGCCTGGCCACTAAGGTTCTCAGAGCCAAATGGGGAAACAGGCGAGGTTATCCCTGTTCAGTATGTAGACTTTGATTCACCTCTCTTGAATGCAGTGCGGTATCCCTGTCCTCAGCTGTGTCTGATGTCTCCCAATCAAAAGGCCTTCAAGTGTAGCCAGTCTAGAGGGTAAAGCTCCAGTCTTCTTCCAGAGAAGGAAATAAAAAGATCTAACTTCTTGCTCTACAAACTTTCTAACAATAAGCTTGCTTTTAGCATTATCTTTACCCACTTTCAGAGTTACATGGTTCCTCAAGTGTTTAAGTCTTTCAGGGTTCTGCATATTAATTAGCTTGACTCAGTGCCTCTACTGCTAGCCTAGGTGTCAGCATTCTATTAGTTACTTCTCAAGAACTTGCTTTCCACCAGATTTTGGTGCTGTCATCCTCTCTTGTTCTTTTTTTCTCCCTTTGCTGTCATGAGGTATTCAATCTTCCACATTTAACTGGAAGTTGGGGCTTAGTTTTTAATGCCCCCATGGGAACAGGAAACAAGACCCTGAGTCAAAGAAACATTAGAATTGAAATTAAGATCCCCTACATAAAGCCAGGGCTTTCAGAGGAAGGTAGTATCAGTGAAAGGGTAGACTAGGAAAAAAACCCACCAACTGGCACAGAAAAATGACAAAGAAACTTTGTACCTTGACTCTGAGTAGGAAAAAGAATTCCCTTTAAAAATTTATAGACAAGCCAGTGCGGTGGCTTACACCTGTAATTCCAGCACTTTGGGAGGCTGAGACAGGTGAATCACCTGATGACAGGAGTTCAAGACCAGCCTGACCAACATCGTAAAACCCTATCTCTACTAAAAATACAAAAATTAGCCAGGTGTGATGGCACATGTCTGTAATCCCAGCTACTTGAAAGGTAGCTATGCTCACCACTATACCACCAACGCATCTAATCCCTGCTACTTGGGAAGCTGAAGGGCAGGAGAATCGCTTGAACCCAGGAGGCAGAGGTTTCGGTGAGCCAAGATCACACCAATGCACTCCAACCAAGGCAACAAAGTGAGACTCCATCTCAAAACAAACAAACAAACAAAAATTATAGACAGAGAAATGGCACACAACTGAGTAAATACTATTAGGGAATCCTCGAGCCTAGAAACTAACTTACAATTGGTCCTCGATATAGGATACTCCTAGAGTGTCTGGTCCTGAGTATGTTTTCTAGAATGTCTGGCCTTGCAGAAAAAATACTTTGAAAGTATTTATACATGGAGATTCCCACTGCTAATGGTAAGTGAAGATGATCTCCAAATTCATAATTATGACTCACAAAGGAAATAATCCTTTTTTGTTTTTTTAGATTCAAGTTCTCATTCTGTCACCCAGGCTAGAGTGCAGTGATACAATCATAGCTCACTCCAGCCTGCAGCCTGGAACTCCTAGGCTTAAGTGATCCTTCTTCCCTCAGCCTCCCAAAGTAGCTAGGACTACAGGCACGGGCACCATGCTTGGCTAATTTTTAAACTATTTTGAAGAGATAGGGTCTTGCTATGTTGCCCAGGCTGTTCTCAAACTCCTGGCTCAAGTTTTCCTCCCAAATTGGCCTCCCAAAGTTTTGGGATTACAGGTATGAGCCACCATGCTCGGCATGAAACAAATAATGTTAGGAAGCAAATCATGCTAAGAACAGAAATTGCATATACAGTCTATATTAATGACTTAAATTCTATGTTAGGACCCCTCAAGAGATGTTTTTGCTTCCAGACTGGGACAATCCCAGGTTTTCTCCAGGTTGACTCTGTCCTGAGTGGATCAGTGCAAGGAATTTGGATGAAAAGAAAAAAATACATAGAATAATATTTCAAGTTATCTCATTATAGATATCTGTGTAGATATGTGCATACATTTTTCTGAACAGAATCATGAGAACGTGTTAAAAATTATTTTCTTTGGGGAGAGGAACTTGGGGTAAAAGGAATAAGAAGTTTTCAATTTTCCTTTTTTGAAACATTCTTTTTGAGTTTGAATTTCTGATGTTACACACATATTACCTTTATTTAAAAAAGGTATAATAAGGCATAACTGGATTGTGAAGTTACAGAAATACAGATAATGTCTTATTTTCTTTTTTAAAAACTGGTTAATATCATAGTATTGATTTTTTTTAAATCCCAAAACAACATAAACATGTCCTAAACCTAGTCTGGCTTTGAACTTTTCCCTACTACATGTAATTTACAATCTACTTGACAAAAGGTGTAAGCCATTTTCTGACAAACTCTAATGAGGTAGAAGACTTGTTCTAAGAAGCCCAGTCACCCACTGTCAGTCAAGAGTCTAATTACCTTTACCTAAACATAGTTTTCTTTGATAGTCTAACAATGTTTACCTATTTCCTTTTTTTTTTTTTTTTTCCTTTTTTGATACAGGGTCTCACCTGTGTCACCCAGGCTGGAGTGCAGTGACCCGATCACAGCTCACTATGGCCTCAACTGCCTGGGCTCAAGCAATCCTCCCATCTTAGCTTCCCGAGGAGCTGGGACTACAGGCACACCACCATGCCGGGCTAATTTTTTTATTTTTATCAGAGACGAGGGTCTCACTATGTTGTCCAGACTCATCTCAAACTCCTGGGTCTCCCAAGGGGAATACAGGCACGAGCCACCAAGCTTGGTCTATCTATAGAAATCAAATGTCTCTATCAAAACTAAATCTTTGAATTGGCCTAATAGACTCTTTTTCCTTTGCAGCAAGATTTGTGATAAAATTTGTAAGTGGTCATCACTAAAGTGTTTGACTTTTGTTTTGAGACAAAGTCTCACTCTGTGGTTCAGGCTGGAGTGCAGTGGCACGATCTCGGCTTACTGTAACCTCCACCTCCCGGGTTCAAGCGATTCTCCTGCCTCAGCCTCCTGAGTAGCTGGGACTACAGGCGTGTGCCACCACACCCCGCTGAATTTTTTTTTTTTTTTTTTGTATGTTTAGTAGACACGGGGTTTCCCCGTGTTAGCCAGGATGGTCTCGATTTCCTGACCTTGTGATCCGCCCGCCTTGGCCTCCCAAAGTGCTAGAATTACAGGCGTGTGAAAAAAATTTTAAAACGTTTTAAACCTTCAAAAACCTGGGTAATGTTCACCTCCATCACTCGTATAACAGACGAGGGTTCGATGGATGACAGAACATAGAACCACAGGTATAGAACGTAATTCATTCATTCCTTTGACAAGTATTTGAGTGCCTATCCTAAGCCAGACTAGCAAGTCCTTGAGGGTCTACCACGTGCCAGGCAGTGTTCTTGAAGCTGGAGATACAAAAAGGAACAAACCCGCGATTCAGGGAATAAAAACTACAATTCCCCTAAGTATCTTGCTCCTCGGCTTTTTTTCCACGGGGGTGCTACTTTCCACGACTCTCTTCCCATGATTCTCGTTCGGCAGAAAAGCCCCGCCCGCTTATCTGTCATTTAATCCAGCGCCCCCTGGGAATGAACTACAACTCCCATAATGCGTTCGAGGGGCACCGTATTTTAGGGCGCCACCTTTTTCCCTGCCTTGCTGGGGACGACTACAGTACCCAGAACGCTCCGCGTCGCCTCTTGGGTGTTGTTGCCCCTTTCCCGGTGCAGGACGCGGTAGTGGCCAGCCAGCGAGTGTCAGGCCTGGGGTTTTCTGTGTCCTTCCCTGGGTCAGGGACAAGCCAGTGATTTGACTCTTGGGCGCTCAACCTGGGAGGGAGCACAGGAGGCCGCTATCCCTCCTTTCCGGTTCACGTCACCCTTCTCTCCCTCTCCTGCTCCACCTGCAGCCACTTAGACAGCTCTGGGACTGACTGCCTGGGGCAGTGAGTGGCAGTGGCGGTCGAGGCCGCCGGGGCCGAGGTGAGGCTGCAGCTCTCCGGGCCGCGGTAGCGCTGGGAAGGAGGAGGAGAGAAGATGGCGTCGGAGCTGGAGCCAGAGGTGCAGGCCATCGACCGGAGTTTGCTGGAATGTTCGGCCGAGGAGACTGCGGGGGTGAGTGCCGGGACCCGGGCGCGTACATCCGGCCCTCGCAGGCCGCGCCCGCGGGGAGGAACTGACTCCTGGACGTCCCTAGAGCAGCCTGGCCCAGACTTGGGGTAACAGCTGTGCCGGACCTCGCCTTGTGGAGTAATAGCCCGGGGAGGCCACCGATCCTGCCCCACTCTTTCCATTTTCAACAGCCCCCAGAGGTGCTCTGTGCACTAACCACTTTTACTTTCCCTTTTTGCCCAGGGGTACCCACGGCTCTTCCATCATACCTCCTTTTCCCCAGCCTCTCTTTAAGTCTCCAACACATGGACCTTTGCCCTTTATATTCAGCTCTGGGAAGAGGAGAAGAAACGCTTTTTGTGTTTTTGGTATAACCCCCCTACTTTAGTCGATTGCTTTTCCTGAGATAAGCACAGCAGTGTGCTCCTCCGCCTAAACATTGCCATCCTAACCCAGCCCCTACTTTGTTTTTGGGACTGCCTCAGACACCAAGCAGGCAAACGGCACTATACTCATTACCCCTCTCAGTGCTTTTTTTTTTCCACCGGTTTGGTTAGTTGACAATCTTGATGCATGTGTGAAAAGTTCATTGAGTATGAGGAAGTAGTCTTGGAGGCTGGGAAATTTTTAAAATATTTTTTCTAGGGGTTAGGGGTAATTGGATGGAGAGCAAACGTTATATAACGTTGATAGAGCATCTTTCAACAAATACTGTGTAAGCTAAACTCAAGAATTGGCCACAGTGTAGTAGAACAGTTATGCTCCAAACGTAAAACCATTCAAACACAGTATTGCATGAAAACTGTAATATGAATATGCCAGTGTAAATAGCAGAGTTGTCAAATAATAAACTCGACGGCCTCTTTCCCCAATAAGGACAGGGAAGACCCATTAGAAGAGATTGTCCAGAATGATTATGAATGGACCAAAACAGCTTGGGCCCCACCTCTAAGACCTCTAATTAAAAAGGCAGCTAGGAAGGGAGTGACCCGTGAATAAAAGCCAGCAATCTGAATGCCAAGAACAAAATTTGGGATTAGGGACACTGTGGAGCTGTTGATCAGTGAGTAGTTACTTTGTGTGAATTGGTGAGGACATTAAGTGCAGGTAGAAAGAATTGTCAGGAGTACGAGTGAAAAGTTTAAAGAAATAGTGTTGAATGCTGAATCTTTGCTTGTTTGGGTGTAGGTTTGTTTGTTGTTTTTTTGAGACTTGGTCTTTCTCTGTCACCCAGGCAGGAGTGCAATGGCTCAATCTCTGCTTGCCACAACCTATGCCTCCCAGGTTCAAGCGATTCTCCTGCCTCTGCCTCTCAAGCAGCTGGGATTACAGGCATGCACCACCATGCCCAGCTAATTTTGCATTTTTAGTAGAGATGGCGTTTCTCCATGTTGATCAGGCTGGTCTCGAACTCCCAATCTCAGGTGATCCGCCTGCCTGGGCCTCCCAAAGTGCTGGGATCACAGGCGTGACCCCACCCCCACCCCCCACCCCCGGCCTTGGGCGTGTTTTTCTAAACCTACTTACTTGTTTAGTCTAGGTCTGTTTTCATTTACTTCCTACTTAATATTGCACAACTTAAAGAATTTCTGCCTTTCATTTATCAGAGATTTGAAAAAAGAAAGTGAAAGTAGTGTAAACTGTGAAATAATGACAGCTGTTTGTTCTCCATGCCTCTTCTAATTGATATTCTAATCTGTTATTTACCTGAAAGTACTGTCTTAGTTTTTTCTCTCACTGAATTTTGTGTCTGGCCCAGTGATACACAGATTCCGTTATCCCATTCTAAAAGTGCAAACTATCAAGTAATTAGAGGTTCTCCAGTTTGTTGAGGCTCCTGAGGAAACTGGTTATAAAACTAGTGCTGGAGGCCAGTGCTCCTAGTTCTTGTTCAGTGAAATTCTCAAACAGAATTTTCCAGGGAAATGCAACAAAAAATTATTAATTTGGACTTAATTTGAGTTTGTGAACATCACACTCGGAGCTACCTTTTACCCTATTTACTTTTAAAGGCCTTTCTGAACAATACGATTTTTTAAGTTTAGTCTGAAGGCCAACAAAATTCTTTCAAATAAAGAAGATGCAAGCTCACTTTTTTTGGAGGGGCGGTGGTAAGGGATAGAGTCTTGTACTATTGTCCAGGCTAAAGTGCAGTGACATGATCATAGCTCGCTTCAGCCCTGACCTCCACCTCCTAGACTCTAGAGATCCTCTGACCTCAAAAAGGAATATTAAAATATAAAATTCCTTTAGCTATATAACCTTAATCTTGCCTTACTTTGTGAGGGCTTTGCTGTCTAAGTTAAAACACCAAACACTTAAAACTGCTTTTTCAGCTTAGGCTTCAGCTTTTCGTCACGAATTAAATTAATAAAGTTTTCTCTTAGGTTGAAAATAAATTTTAGGGACGAGAAACAAGCAGAGAAAACAGTAATTGCAGGCTTTAGACCTCTGTGGTTGATAATTTGTTAGGATCGCTTCCATTTAAAATCACTTAACGAGCACTCGTGGTGTCCTTTCCACATTTCGTTTACACACTGCTTTTCTTATTCCTGTTATGAGGAGGAAGAACTTTTTGTGATCCCATCCATCCTAGCTAGTATGCCTCATAAAGAAAAGCATCTAAGCTGACTCTTAAATATTTGTAAGTTTAGGATATTGCAGTGGCCCTCTCTTCTCAGTTTTCTCTTTTCTTGTTAGAATTGATTCTGTAAGTATGACTTTCCAACACTTCTTGACTCTGTTTACATTCCATACTACATATGGTTATAGTGTGTTCCAATGGGTGATTATGGTTTTCAAAGTAAATGTGCTAGATGTGGTGGCTCACGCTTGTAATCCCAGCACTTTGGGAGGCTGAGGCGGGCAGATCACTTGAGGTCAGGAGATTGAGACCAGCCTGGCCAACATGGTGAAATCCTGTCTCTACTAAAACTACAGAGATTAGGCGGGCAAGGTGGCGCACCTCTATAATCCTGGCTACCAGGAGGCTAAGGCAAGAGAATAGCTTGAACCCAGGAGGCTGAGGTTGCAGTGAGCTGAGATTATACCACTGCATTCTAGCCTGGGTGACAAGATTCCATCTCAACAACAACGAAGTAAATATGTTGTTTTTCCCTGAGTGTAAAAGAAATATAGATTGGGAGCACTGGCTCATGCCGGTAATCCCAGCTACTTGGGCGGTTGAGGTAGGAGGACTACTTGAGTCCGAGAGTTTGAGACTAGCCTGGGCAACATAGCTAGACCCTGTCTCTACGTGGGGCAGGGGAGGAAGGCTGGGTGTGGTGGCATGAACTTACAGTCCTAGCTACTCAGAAGGCTAAGTGGAGAGGATCACTTGAGCCCAGGAGTTTGAAGTTACAGTGAGCTATGATCATGCCACTGTATTTCATCCTGGGTGAGAGAGTAAAATCCCATCTCCAAAAAAAACAAATTTAATAAAATAAATATGAATTTGTTTTCTGTAGAGTTTTAGTTCAGTATTGGTTATCTTTTCTTTGCATTTTTAAACAGTTTTATTGAGATGTAACTCACATACTGTACAATTCAATTCAGTGGTTTTTAGTATATTCCGAGTCGTGCAACCATCACTAAGATCAATTTTAGGACATTTTTATCACCCCAATAAAGAAATCCTGTACCCATTGGCAGTCACTCCCCATTTTCACCTAAACTCCCGGAGTCTAATTAGACACAGTCTCACTCTGTCACCCAGGCTGGAATACAGTGGTATGATCTCAGCTGACTGCAACTTCCGCCTCTCAGGTTCAAGTGATTCTTCTGCCTCAGCCCCCCAAGTAGCTGGGACTACAGACGCACACCACCATGCCCAGCTAATTTTTGTTTTGTTTTGGTTTGTTTTGTTTTGAGACGGAGTCTCACTTTGTCACCTGGGCTGGAGTGCAGTGTCGCGATCTCAGCTCACTACAACCTCTGCCTCCTGGGCTCAGGTGATTCTCCTGCCTCAGCCAAGGCACATGCCACCACACCCAGCTAATTTTTATTTTTAGTAGAGATGGGGTTTCACCATGTCGGCCAGGCTAGTCTTGAACTGCTGACCCAGGTGATCTGCCTGCCTCAGCCTCCCAAAGTGCTGGGATTACAGGTGTGAACCACTGTGCCCAGCCTAATTTTTGTATTTTTTAGTAGAGGTGGAGTTTCACCATATTGGCCAGTCTGGTCTCACACTCCTGACCTCGACCTCCCGAAGGGCTAGGATTGCAGGTGTGAGTCACCGCACCTGGCCTGTTCTAGATATTTTATATAAATGGAATTCAACATATTGTCATTTGTGGCTGACTTCTTTCTCTTAGGATAATCGTTTAAAGGTTTTTTTCCTTCTTATACCATATACAGGTTGAGTATCGTTATGCTTGCCACCAGAAGTGTGTTGGATTTTGGATTTTTTGGATTTTGCAAATATACCAGTTGAGCCTCCCTAGTCTGAGGACTTCCTTGAGCGTGACTTTTGAGCTTCATGTGGGCACTCAAAAATTTCAGATTTTGGATCATTTTGGATTTCACATTTTCAGATTAGGGATGCTCAACCTGTATCAGTAATTCATTCTTTTTTACTTGCCAAATAACATGACATTCCTTTGTATAGATTAGCCATATTTTATTTATCCGTTCATCAGTTGGTGAATATTTGGGTTGTTTCTACTTTTTGGGTGTCATGAATCAAGTTATGAACATCCTTGTATGAATTTTTGTGGCGACCTATGTTTTTGTTTCTCTTGAGTATATATACACCTAGGAGTGAAGTTGATGGGTCATATGTTAACTCTTTTGAGGAGCGGCCAGATTTTTCCAAAGCGGCTGCATTGTTTTGCATTCCCACCAGTAGTGTATGAGGGTTCAGATTTTTCCACATCCTTGCCAACACTTGTTTTTGCCTGTGTTTTGATTACAGCCATTCTTTTGGGTGTTGTGCTTTCTCATTGTGGTTTTGATTTGCATTCCCCTCATGACTCATGATGTTGAACATCTTTTTATGAGCTTAT